AGAAACTGGTGAAAAGCAAACTTATGGGCAATGGGAGCTGATGAGTGGCAACAGGTAGTTGCCAGCAATATGGCAAGTCTAGACAGCAGAGATGAATGCCTTTTGGAGACATTAGTGATGTAGCGTGGCTGGATAGCCGAAGGCTATCAACCACAGACACCGAAAAGGTATTGTCTGTGTATTTGTGGAAGTGAATGTTGTGCTGGTAGAACGCAGGTGCAGAAGACAAGGCAGTTTTCCCTTGGAGGGGAAAACCGTGTGAAATCTAGCCAGCTTTTAGCCTGTCATTCATGTCCAAATAATTGGAATATGTGTGAGAAATGTGTGAATATGTGTGTAGAAAAATGTTAAAGCGAAAGTGTTAGAGATCAGTTAAATGTGGCTATGCCATTATTCTTTCTGTGACCTATCTACATTTCTACACACCTCATTAACAACCTTGTTGTGATAGAGACCCATTAAAATGTGCAGTCATAAACTAATACATATCTGTGTGTGTATGTATACAATTACATGTAATGCTTCCTCATTCCTTTATATACTTAAATTATGTGTCACGAATGCAAACTGAATAATAATGGTCATTATTATTTTTAATGTTACAAACTCTGGAGTGTAAGTTGACTACTTGCTCAGTCAGGCCTTGATGATCAAGAGACATGATGTGGTGATATGGTGGCAATATAGCAGGTACTGGTGTTACTTCATTAGGATGTGATAAAATGGTTAGGGTGGCACATTTGTGCACTGTGTCTCTCCATCTGATCAAACTGATGCAAAGACTGTCAATTGTGGCCCAGAAAGCTAAAACCCTCTGGTGTGGAGATGATCAAAGATGATGTTAATCAATTTTGTCTTACATTGTCATCTGTGAAGAGACAAAATAGGCATTGAAGCAGAATGATGATTTCAGAGAGTGACAATGAAAGCACTTGATCACCAGGACATTCCTGCCCATGTCAAGTCCTGGCTCTCGGGTCAGAAGAAGATACAGTATATACAATCCCTGGCCAGTAGAGTATTTTCTTTCACTCTGGTAAGGAAAGGGAGGTATAATGGACCATACTGCTTTGGGACTAGTAAGCAAGATTCTACCGATATACTGTACAACGAGGGGATTGTGCTGAGATTTTTTTCTTCAGTATGACACGTATGCTGGGCTGGCTGGACAGTGCTGAGTAAATGCTCACTGTAAATGCAAAAGTGTGAAACAAAGTCTGGATGTTTTAAACAGAGGCCACTTTGGTTCTCTGCTGCAAAACTGAATGTAATGTTCTTTGGAAGATATATTTTTTCTTTTGTGTTTGTGACATAGCAAGGGGATATTATTATTTATTTTTCTTTGGCTATTTTGGATTGTGTTTTTTTAACTAGTTGTTTTTGATACCTGGTTTCCTTTTGTGAGTTAAAATTGTTGCTACTGTTTTATTGATTAGGAGCAGCAATAGGAAGAAAATCTATTGAATTTCCTTGTCTTTTGTAGGTCTGTGGTTGCACTGGTGGTTCTCTGGGATCGGATAGCCCATGTGGGGAGAAAGACTTCTAGTACCTTTAAAATTACAAGCTGGAGTAGTCAGCTACAGTACCTGAAAATTGAAAATGGCCACTACTGTCAACTTTGTCTAAGAGCCTGTATCAGATTTCTGTCTGTAAGAAAAGCCTTGTGAAGACAATTGTCTGCTGGGGCATGTGCATACAGTACCTTGTCTTCCTTCAGGGATTTTTCTAGATATTATCTTATTAATGGGCGTTTTGTTTTAATATGTCTTTCATTACGGCTGCTTGGTCTTTTGTTCATATTGTCAGCATTTGCAAAATATTCAATCAAATGATAATCTGATAAATTTAAATCCTGTTACAAGGTAAACAGGTCAGGTCATGGTTCTGAGCCTTGCTAAAGCAGTGTATTGTAGCTCAGAACTCAGATTGTTTCAAAGTATTGCTCTGGTTTAGTACCTAGTGATCTTATCCTTTTCAATACGTTTGAAGACCTAATATTGGTGTAATTCCTGTGTAAGAAAGTATGGAACAATAACATAGTTGGATTCAACTGGTAAGAAATATTTGTTGTTACATTTCAGATTAATAAGCATGTTTTGAGCTTTAAAAATTAGGTACAGTTTATGTTTTATACACCATTCATCAACACAATCAGTTCTGATACTCCTGTATTATTGTGAGCTGCATTTATTTGACTATTTTTACATTTCAAAATGGGGTAGGTATTGCTTTAAAATCAGGCCTGTAGTATTGTCTAATTTAATACATTCTAACATTTTCTTGGCAAATATCATGAGTTTCCATGATGCAATCTTGACATCTAGTACACAACCAAATTTAAAGTACAAGATTTTCTATCTTGGACACAGGTTTCAACAAAGCCCATGCATTGCATGTTGACAGATGAAAGTAACTAGACTAAATACACTTTTGGTTTCCATTTTATACACAAGCTCTCCTTGGGGAACAAGTAAGCATTTTAAATATTGAACACAGAGGAGAGAGTAAGATATGTATCAAACACAGCTAATAAAAACTTGTGGAGGAGAACTACACCTGTACAATTTAAAAATATTAAAATAACAGGAGCCTGCCAAGGAACACATTAAAATTATTTGATAAGGTGTGGGAAGCTCATTGAACTGTAACAGAAAACCAAACAATAATATTTTCAATTGATACATACATTTTTCAATTATTTTCCACTGAAGGTGGTTTTCCAGATTTTGCCAAGTCAACAGCAATAGAACTGACATTTAGCCCAAAATGAGGAAGGATCAAGGTGGTGCAATGACATAATCGTTAACATTGCTACCTTGCAGCATTGGGGCCCTGGACTTAATTCTGAACCTGGGGAACTATCTTGGAACTGGAATTGTTCCTCCCTTTGCGTGGGTTTCCTCTGGGTGCTCCATTTTCCTGTTATAATTCAAAGACATACTAGTAGATTAGCTTCTGGAAAGAATTTGCCCTGATGTGAATGTGTCTGTCTGTGTGTGCCCTATGATGGACTAGTCTCCCATCCAGGGTGTATCCCATCTTGCACCCGTCCCTTGTCGAAATAGGTTTTGTCTCCCCAGCAACCCTAAATTGGATGAAGCTGTTAGAAAATGGATAAAGAGCGAGAAATCTGAGCAATCCTATGGGATTTCCACTATTATCTTCAGCATCTGATATCTGCTGGTCATTCACAGGCACTAGGTAGATAAGAGGTAAGGACGATGTAGTCTCAGTTTAGATCAGATACCTTTTGTGTTGGAGTTTATATTAAAAAAATGTTTGATCATTTTCTCAAGTATTTGGACTAGAGATAATGATAAGCATTACAATATGAATGTACAAAAACAGAAAATGGGTGACAATGATTCTGTTCTTCTTCATGCAGACATAAAACCACAGTGCAATAAATATGTTTGTTCAACAATTAAAAAAAATATCTTTTGTATTAATTGAATATAAGTTACTCTAGCAAGCTGGCAAAATGTTTCCCACAAATGTCCACAATTTGTTTATGACAAATGTCCACAAAACACTAAAGAGCTTCTTTTCAATGCTAAAACCAGTGGTGATACTATTTGCAGACAATAGTACTCAATGCTCAGTATGTAGGGATTGTGGAGAGTATTAAATATCTGGGAACACATATTGATCAAAAGCTGAGTTACACCATCCCCACAGCTCGGAGGGTTAGGCAAAATACACGGTACATATTTTGTCCCTCTATTGCATTAATTGGATCTAACTGAACAACTGAAAATATTTTTATCTGTAAAAAAAAAATCTAGAGTACAGAGTTGCAAAGCATTCTCCTAATCAAAATGCAGTAATTACAGTTAACTAAGAGGTGCAATTTATATATATATAAATATTTCTGTGAAAAACAAGGGACAAAATCCCTCCCAACATTTTTATAATTTCTGCAACATAGACAGGTTCAACTTACAAGAATTAGTAAGGAAGCTCAGTCTGACATTAGCCCATTTGGATATGGTTGGCATGGTAACATTGCACACTTTTGTTCAACATTAACACAGACATCTGACTGTGTTTGCCCCAGAGTATTTGTATTTTGTACAAAGAATAGAAGTGTTTGGAGTTAGACAGAAAATAATGCTCCTGTTTTACCATGCTGCATTTGAGAACATTATTAGATATGGCAATAATTAATAATAATAATTGCTTACACTTATATAGCGCTTTTCTGGACAATCCACTCAAAGCACTTTACAGGTAATGGGGACTCCCCTCCACCACCACCAATGTGCAGCATCCACCTGGATGATGCGACGGCAGTCATAGTGCACCAGAACGCTCAACACACATCGGCTATCAGTGGGGAGGAGAGCAGAGTAATGAAGTCAATTCATAGATGGGGATTATTAGGAAGCCATAATTGGTAAGGGCCAATGGGAAATTTAGCCAGGATTCCTTGGTGCAACAGATTGGTTTGGTAATTTATATGATCAATTAAGATAAAAAATCACCCTTGTCCAAACAGCAGTGAAGGTAATGGGAGTGAAGCAGCACTCCTCCTTGCAGACAATTTTTAAACAATCCATGATTAGACAGGCAGAAAAAATTCTATCACGTTCTTTTGATACTCTTAATTCTGAATATCAACTTCTTCCCTCTGGAATATATTTTAGGGTTCCCAAATATAGATCAAATGGATACAAATATTAATTTGTTCCATTATCTATTAAAGAAATGAGTACACCTAAATGCCAGGGGTAAATGTGTCAATCTGAACTGATTAGGCTATAAATAATACACTACATATGTGTAATAAGTCATGAATATGTTGTAATTAGTTATGCATGTGTAATAGATATGTAGTTTTGATTTGTAACATCTTGGGATGTATTTAGTTGTACAAAAGTTCTGTGTGCCACTAACATTTTTCCTTTAAGTGGTCATTTAAAGTTTATCTTATCTTAGTATAATATAGCTGCATTGGTAGGAATTATATCACAGAACCTTTCTGGGCCCTTAACCATTAATGGCATGCATTTAAGGAAGAATATTTATGCTTATTCCAATGTGTATAAATGTGATTCATATCATACAGTATAAGATACAATATGAACAACTGCAAGAAACAGCATACAACACAAATGACTAAGTTTCGATACTTTTCGATAACCAAACATGGTCATGAAATTGTTGTACAGGAGTCACTGCCGGCCTTCACAAGCACGAAAAAAAGTTTTCAACAATGGTGCTGATGGTTTTTACCTTCTCACCATTTTACAAAGAAAAGTCTATGAAAGTGTTTCAACTGATCTGCTGTCTGCTCTGGACCAGCGTGGCCAGCAGGAGTACAAGAAACAATAAAGGAACCTTGAGAGACAGTGACTTTAAATAGAAGGCCTTGCCTGGTCAAAAAGGATAAAAGGATTAATTTCTGCATATTTCATCACCAATTGCAAGAGTGGAAGGAAAAAAAACGGTTCCTCAGCCTTCGACAGAAGGCTTACTAATTGAAGAGAAAGTAACGATAAGCTTTTCTTTGCAATTTTTACATTCGCTATAAAACATCCTAGGAAAACTATACTGTGTATTACAATATTATTTCCAACAACATTTACTAGACCAGGAATCCTGATTTAGCTGTTACTAGAAGACACTGGTAATATAAAATTACAACTATTGTCAGAAGTCTGAGTGAAGCCCTTTAAGCTCTGACTTGGGCTCCCTTGCTGTATGACAAATCTTCACCTGCACAAAGGTTTTCCTACCGATCTTAAACTAATCTTATTTCCACATATTCTGCTTTCCTATAACTAATCTATGCTTTAACATTGCTTTATTATGCTTGACTGTCATGAAAATAAGGTTTTATGCACATTTTTGAGTGTTATTCTACTGTCCTCACTATGACTTCGGTGTATTAAAACTCTGTGCTGGTGCTTACTGTAGCACATCAAATGGAGCGAATCCTGACTCCTCCCATCCTTTAGATTGTAGTAGCAAAATAGGTACTAAAAAACATCTACAGGTATCTCTGTTTTCTGTAAAGGAGCTTGATTCATCTACACGTCTGATATTTTAAAGTTTTTTTTTATTTTGTAAGAGTTAATCAAAATTATGTGTTTCACCTTCTTCGGGCAGCTGATTTGCAGCACGTTTAGCAGTGATGGCCTTATTTAGAAGGTTAGGAACAGCAGATACTATTTTGTTGTATTTACATAGCTGTCCTTGCGTCATGTGGAAAGCAACTATAAAGGAAGCTACAAATCATAAAAGGGTCTTCCTAAGAATTCACTAATGTTAACTTCATAGTACATCAATAACACCAAGCACCAGTGACGGGGACATTCCTAATGGGATCATTAAGTCAGTCTCCCTAAGAGCGGGTCATAGATTAAGAAAAAGTGCAGACATACAAGATAAGAAATGAGGAGGAAAGGAAAGGAGAGGAAGGTAAAACAGGCCTTGTCACTCATCATTTTCTCAGAAGCTACAGTATGCTGTGGGAGAGCTAACCACACTGGTAATCAGATTCACTCCAGGTACTATAAAGAGTACAGGGTCTTGAGCATTATTACAGGAAAGATTGCTGTCTAATTATTTTAGGAAATTTTAGAATTTAAATATATTCAAATATATCTCCTATTTTAGTGATGCATTGATGGAAGTTGGACATTTTTTCCCATGACTGTATTTGTTGGATTTAGTCCTGGGAAGGATCCATTTTTTTTTTAATGCAGGTTTTCACCCTTTGAGCTGTTAAGGTGTTTTGTCGTGTATTTAGATTTAAGGTAAGAGGTAGAATTCTGGACTTTCCTAGAGTTAAAGCCAATACAACTCTGAAACCCACTGATTGTATAGAATAACTGTTGGAGAGTTGTGTAAATTATAGTTAATAAATATTGGTGTGTCTATATTTGGGTGTGATACTGTACAACCCAGTGTTAAATCTCCCTTCCTATAATCCTGGATGTCCAAATGTGAAAAGGACTGAGTATACCTATTCTAAACATGTATCACCAAATCCAAGACCAGAATAACGTCCACTTACCTAGCGCTTCTGTTTCCTCCTGTCAATCCCGTCTCTTTTCATTTGTTTTCTCTGACCTTCTCTTTTCTGTGTCTCCTCATGAAGATGTCTTTCTGCATGTTAAATGTTTATTCTTTCATATCAGTTAACCAGAGTAGAAGAGTACTTTTGATTCTCTGTCTCTCACAGCCCACCCACAGCTAGATAAACAGCTCAGTTTCTATGTAACGTTTTTTTTAATGTTATGACCTCTTTGAGTATGTCATCAAATGTATCCTGACAGTTAAATGACAAAAGCACCTGTTAGTCCTTATTTCTTACATGTAGGGGAGTTATAAAAAAGTTTTTAATTATACCACCCAATATAGCTAAGGTTTAATTATGCTTAAAGATATCTATATTTTGGATTTTTATAACTGAAAAACACGAACTCAGAATATCACCACTCTAGAGCAATAACACAGGCAGCAGTGTGAAGAGAAATAGCGAGTAGTGTATCCTTACTGAGCAGAGTGACAAAGCTTGCAATTGAAATTTTATGTTCTTGTAAGTGTATTTGACGAACTAGTAAATTCTCAGAAATGTGTAGAATTATATTTTGAATTCCATCCTTATACACATGTGAATGAAAATAATTACATCTTTGTTACTTTATTATTTTTAATCTTTTAATTTTTTAAATATATTTTTAAACTATTTTCTTTTCTTTAAATTTGGTCCCCATTTAATTCGGTGCACAAGATGACTGCCTGTTTCATCTACTGTATATGGGCGAGCCAGCCCTATCTGCATCAGAGTAAGGGTCAGTATATCACTCAAGTCTGACTGAGAGGTATGTGACAAAATAGAAAAGTTCTTAGAGTGAGTAGTTAATTAGAAACTGATATCTACAGTATGTTAACTAATTTCCAGTGTTTGAACAAGGGTCATTTTCAGTGGTATGAATTACTGTCACATCCAATGTCAAATTTTCATAGATTATAGCACAAGGAACCTTGAATGAGAAAGTTCTTGAATGAGAACCCTGAATGAAAAAACTAACTGATAAGCCAAATGAAGAAGCTCAATCAAATTTAGGTATTTTGAAAAGATTATATTTTGACAGAAGCAGGGTAAGTTGAATTCAGTCATAGTGCTGGAAAGTAGCAGGCTTTGTTATATCCCTTGATATTGCTCTCCACAAGTAGAAACAAACACATCTACAGAAGATCAGTCCTCTGAATGCTTTTCTATGTGCATTTCACCTGTGAATAATATATAAAAACTGTCAATGTTGTTTTGATCTTTTTAACAGAATAATAGAGTTTTAAATGCCTATGGCAGGCTAATACAGACTGTTTTCTTTCATTATAATGTGTTGTATTTAAACAAACTTTGTGCACTCTAACATAGGAAGCTAACTTTGGCACTAATGTTACAAAGGTGTTGATATAGATAAAACAGATGATATCTTCAGACTAAACAATAACTTATAAATACAGTATGAGGTCCCTTGTGGAAATAGATGTATTTAAGACTGAATATTACACAAACACTTCTTCCTTACATCTATACAAAACATTTCATTCCAAAGGCATTTCAGTGACAAACTATTTCAAGTTATTTGAAAACTCATTTTCATGTTTGTTACAATTTTTCATTTTAAGAAGTTTAGTTGAACTTTAATTCACATCATGAGGCACTGTGCCAAACATGAGGAAAAGTGCCAAAGGGATATACAGTATTTATGACCTGTTACAGGAAGGCTCCTCAGGCACATTATCTAAAGTACTGTATAACAGCAGTGATTCCAGCTGTGATTTAGAGAAGGACTAATACCACAGAATTACGTGCTGTGAAGATTAGATTGGCAGCATGGATTTGCATATCAATTTGCTAGTTTCTTTGTCTTTTCAAATGATTTTCTAGAAAATATTAAAAGGTTAGGCTGCTTTTGTTTGTAATTCCATACACATGCTTCCCTAATCTTAACGTGATCCACGTTTCCCATAAAGCTATAAAATATGAAGGAGCACGCAATGGGCAGATATGTCAATTGATGTGTAGGGTCCAAATAGCTTTTCTCTTCCCGATTTTGCAGACACATCATTGAAATCGTGTTCCCAGAAACAGGAAACACATATATATGAGAGAGTATCAGGTAGCAGTGACTGAAATTGATTAAAGCACAGTCTTTGATCTGTAAATGCCTTGTCTATAGTTGTTAAATAATTAGGCTCTGTATTCTTACTCGCATACGTTTTTCAAATCTAACATAAAAGGCAACTTCTAGGAATCTGATAAAAAATCCATTCTTCAATCATTTTCATGAAGTGCTGATGAAGGTTATTTTCTCATGAAAATTGTGGTCCTGAAAACCTTCCAAACTATAAAAGCACAGCAAGAACAGTGGAAATATTAGAAACAGCATCCAAGTTCCAAGAATTAACTTGGCTTGCAAAACAAATAGAGTCTTTTAAAAATATAGCTATCTTAAAACATGTAGATCTGACCATTGTGAGTAGGTAGTGTCTGTATTTCCTCTGCCTTTTAGTAACTTTGTGCCAGGATCTGTGTCCCTCTTGATAAGCAGGTTACTTCAACAAGCAGCAGTTTTAAGAATTTCTGCACCATCTGGTTTAATCTTAAACAGAGAGGGACTTTTCATTAAACTGTCTAATCTTTATGTTAGATTATGTCATTTGCGTCAGTTTCAGTTTTTTTAAGATTGTTATTAATGATGGTTTGAATAACAACCCTTCTCACAATGGCAAAGACAGAGTAATAATTTAGTAAATAGACAGTTAATAATTGAAACGATGGCAGGGGAATAAAGTAAGCAGGGTGTTAAAGCATTGTGTATGACTGCAAGTAGATTAAAACTATCAAGTCTTTTGATTCTTTACATTGAAGCTCAGTAAAAAGCCTGCTTCAGCAGAGCTTAAGGGTGCTAAGAGACATTCACTTGAGTAATGAAACATTATAAACCCAATCTAGATTATTTAGGTCTTATGCCTGAAGGAAGAAAAGGGAAGTATAACCTTACAAGATAACAATCAACAGCAAAAGAGATTGTCCACACCGAGTATTCAGTGGATTATTTACAATACACAGTCAGGATAACAGTGTACAACATGTTTAAAAACAAGTTTTTAAAAAACATATTTTTTAAATTTTTTAAGTCATTCAGTGTATTTTGACTAAGTACACTGCAATAAATAGTGAGCAGAGAGATTTTTTAATAAAGCAATCAATGTATTTTCAAGATTCTGAAGCTTGTTACTGTGGAAATGACTTAATGGTTTGCCAAACTATGGCTGGGTTCACAGGAAATTAAAACACGCTTTTAAAGTTGAAATAATTTAATTTGTGGGAATATAAACAACAATAATCATTGAAACCATGGGCATATAGAACCTACATAAATATTGTCTGAGAGCACAGCAAATATCCTGTTTACTGCATTTTTGTAGTGCTCCCTGTTTTCTCATCAGGGAGACATCCTGGAACAGAAAGGCCCAATTGATTCATTCCACGGTGGAGGGAGGAACTGCTTGTTTCTCCTGGTAATCAAAGTCAAAGACAAGGTCTCTAGTGTGTATCATGGTGAGTCACTTCAATGTTAATTAATCAAAATGATTGCACAAACAATTCTCATCCAACCATTAATTTTCTCTTAATCCAAATCAGAGTCAGAGCCTATCCTGGCAAGCAACAGGCACGAGGCAGGATACTCCCTGGATGAGACACTAGTTAATTCCAGGGCAGAAACAGACACATACACAGTCATGCACACACTCATACCAGGACCAATTTTCCCAGAAGCCAATAAACCTACCAGTATGTCTTTGGATTGTGGAAGAAAACTGGAGCACCTGGAGGAAACCCATGTGAACATACAGTACATGTAGGGAGAACATACAGTAAAAACTCCACGTGGATAGCACCACAGGTCTGGAATTGAATCCAGCAAAATATTTATTTTTTCTGAAAACATACATGCATTAACAGGGCAATACACTGCTTTTGATATTCAGTGTATATACCTTTAGCAGATGTAACTGACTAATACTAATGTGAATAACATGCCTTGGGATGTGACTATGTCATTAGACCCTGAGCTACTCCAACTCAACAGAGATTCCCAGTCAATCTTCAGGCACAGTGATTCTTTGCAGGTCTAACTGCAGCTATCCAATCTATCCTTGCTCAATCTACAGCAGTGTGAAAAAGTGTTTGCCCCCTTCCTGATTTCTTTTTTTTTGCATGTTTCTCACACTGAAATGTTTCAGATCATCAAACAAATTGAAATATAAGACAAAGATAACACAAGCAAACACAAAATGCAGTTTTTAAATGAAGGTTTTTATTATTAAGGAGAAAAAAAAATCCAAACCTACATGGCCCTGTGTGAAAAAGTGATTGCTCCCCCTGTTAAAACATAAATCAACTGTGGTTTATCACATCTTTTGAAAGCTGAGTTCAATTTCTCTAGCCACACCCAGGCCTGATTACTGCCACACCTGTTCTCAATCAAGAAATCACTTAAATAGGACCTGCCTGACAAAGTGAAGTAGACCAAAAGATCCTCAAAAGTTAGACATCATGCTGTGATCCAAGGAAATTCAGGAACAAATGAGAAACAGAGTAATTGAGATTTATCAGTCTGGAAAAGGTTATAAAGCCATTTCTAAAGCTTTGGGACTCCAGCGAACCACAGTGAGAGCCATTATCCACAAATGGCAAAAACATGGAACAGTGGTGAACCTTCCCAGGAGTGGCTGGCCGACCAAAATTACCCCAGGAGCGCAGCGACGACTCATCCAAGAGGTCACAAAAAACCCCACAACAACATCCAAAGAACTGCAGGCTTCACTTGCCTCAGTTAAGGTCAGTTTCCATGACTCCACCATAAGAAAGAGACTGGGCAAAAATGGCCAGCATCGCAGAGTTCCAAGACAGAAACCACTGCTGAACAAAAAGAACATAAAGGCTCGTCTCAGTTTTGCCAGAAAACATCTTGATGATCCCCAAGACTTTTGGAAAATACTCTGTGGACTGACGAGACAAAAGTTGAACTTTTTGGAAGGTGTGTGTAAAAGTAAAAGTAACATCTGGTGTAAAAGTAACACAGCATTTCAGAACAGGAACATCATACCAACAGTAAAATATGGTGGTGGTAGTGTGATGGTCTGGGGCTGTTTTGCTGCTTCAGGACCTGGAAGACTTGCTGTTGTAAATGAAACCATGAATTCTGCTGTCTACCACAAAATCCTGAAGGAGAATATCCGGCCAACTGTTTGTGACCTCAAGCTGAAGTGCACTTGGGTTCTGCAGCAGGACAATGATCCAAAACACACCAGAAGGTCCACCTCTGAATGGCTTAAGAAAAACAAAATGGAGACTTTGGAGTGGCCTAGTCAAAGTCCTGACCTGAATCTGATTGAGATGTTGTGGCATGACCTTAAAAAAGCAGTTAAGGCTTGAAAACCCTCCAATGTGACTGAATTACAACAATTCTGCAAAGATGAGTGGGCCAAAATTCCTCCACAGCGCTGTAAAAGACTCATTGCCAGTTATCACAAACCCTTGATTGCAGTTGTTGCTGCTAAGGGTGGCCCAACCAGTTATTAGGTTTAGGGGGCAATCACTTTTTCACACAGGGCCATGTAGGTTTGGATTTTTTTTCCCTTAATAATAAAAACCTTCATTTAAAAACTGCATTTTGCGTTTACTTGTGTTATCTTTGTTTAATATTTTAATTTGTTTGATGATCTGAAACATTTCAGTCTAACAAACATGCAAAAAATTAAGAAATCAGGAAGGGGGCAAACACTTTTTCACACCACTGTATAATAGATTAATCCATAATACTGATTTAATGGAGATGGGTGTACCATGACTGAACAACAGCTTTATTTGAAGAAACACCTACTCTATAGCTGGATTGCATTGTGCGACTGTAAAAATTGTCGGACTAGTCAAACACGTTTTTGTTTACAAGATTTCACTGAACTTGTCCTCTGAGTCCTTCTTCCTAGTATTTGTGTATTTGTTAATTTCTTGGCAGGTTCTCATAATGTACAGTAATATACGTTTGATACGAAAATGGAATTGGATTTTAACAAGTACATTATAGGAAGATACAGAGGATTAGGAATACAGAATGTTTATTGCACGTGTTTAGTGAAAAGTACTTATTGCTCCAGAATGCAGGCCATATGATGCATCGGAAGACAAGTATTCCAGAATATTGAATGTTAAATATGAGTAATTGAAATCTACACCTCAATTTCAGTTCTGCTCAAACATTCATCCTAAACCTTAAAATAATCCATTGGTTTTCAATTTACCAAAATCTGTTCTGTTGTATTGTCTGTTTAGCATTGCATCATAATATACTGTACACTATATATAATACAGGAATCCTCTCACATTATCTTTTCCTCAATATAAGGAAGATACAGTTTCACAGATGTTTTGTAAAGACAAATGCAAATTGTCTTTCCACTACAGGGAACATTTTCTGTCAAAGGGTAACATTAGTCTAAATAGATTACTCAGGAAGATTACTGTCTTAGGAAGTGGGAATTGCATTACATCACATGTTTTGAAATACATATTATTTCACATACTTCTCCTGTTATGCTTCTTAGAAAACTGCAGTCAGGCTTTCAGATGAGTGTGCTGGGTTTGGTATGTAGTTTTTTAAAATAAGGCACACTATGTTTTAATGGCATGTGTTATTTGGGCATAAAATTTAAAATAAGTGAATAGACAAATTAAATTACATTAAATTTAGTCCTGCATATACTGTATAGGTTTGTTTAACCATACTTCAGTTGTTACCTGGAGACACTACTGTAAGTAAAATGACAAGGAAATCATTTTAATTTTGTTGAAATAGAGAATAAAATGCCATTTTGTGTTCTGTACAGAATCCACACTTGTGCATTATATTTAGAATTTGTAATATAATGATGATTGTTCTTTCTATAAACTCTATCTATCTTCTGTTCTCTCAGATGAACATAAAGGTAGTATAGGTTTCATTTGGCAAAGTGTGAGAAGGCTGAAAAACATTTGAAAAAAAAAATGAAATATAATCTGTTAAGACTTGTTAGATTGAGCTGGTATATTTTGTGTGGGCAGGAGAAAGGGTGTGTATCTTAGATATTGTTTTTCTTGTGGACCAGGGCTAAGTTGCTTAGTTAAAAGCAAGTGCTGTTCATGCCAGTTACATGAAAAACATATTGCATTTTCAAACAACAGACATTTGTTGTGTCATAATAGACAATCAAGAAAGTGCATTTTCCACCCAGCAAAAAAATATTATCCATTCATCCATCCATTTTCTGACCGCTTTACTCAATACAGTGTCACAGGGAACCCAAGCACCTAGCATAAGATGCAATACATCCTGGACAGTCCATTGTAGGGCACACTCACAGACACGCAAGCTCACAACAGGGCAAATTTTCCCAAACGTCAATTAACCTACCAGAATATCTCTGGACTGTGAGAGGAAGCCACGGCAAAAAAAAAGTATAATTACTGTACTGGTATGTAACCAGTACAAAAGCATCTTAATAAGAAGACACTTAAAAAAATCTATTTTTAAATCTAATAACCCATACCAAAACAAGTAACTACATGAATCAATTAAATACTTCACAAGCAAAAACTTGATTCTATAAAGAGTTCCATCTTTATTCCCCTCGGACCAAGAAGATGAGATAACACACATTGTAGCATTGTATTTTGATTGGTTATTAAGAATTAAAATACTTTGCAAAGATGATGGGCCACCAGATGGCTTTCAAGAAAGCTTTTAAGGCTGACTGCAGATTGAAACATATCATTTGGCTACACAATCCCATGCTATAAATACTAATACATTGCAGGACTTCTCAACTCCACGTAATATTCCTCCCGTTGAAAAAAACTGCAGCCCTCCAAATCATGCTACATATGTATATTTTAAAACTAGATATTTTATTTAAAATCTGAATGCTCGGCCTGAAGACTAAAGGTAAAATAAGTTACAGCAAATGTCAACAAAAATGAAAGTGAAAAAACTGAAATATGTTGATTTCAGAAGTATTTTGGACCTGTGGACTCAATATCTGGAAGAAGCACCAATGGCAGCAATTATTTTTGAAATTACATTATCTTGTATTTTTGGGTAAGTCAACTTTGAAACCTACTTGTGTAAGGATATTGGTAAATATCCTTACAACTTGGTTTTATTTTGTCATTCTTCATGGCAGATTTCTCAGGTTGCTTTGGGGATTGCTAATGGTCAGCAGTTTTCAAGTCTTTCTGCAGAGTCTCAATATAATTCAAGTCCTGACTTTGACTGGGCTAGTCAAGCAACATGTACTGCAGTGTAGATTTGGCCCCATGATTCGCATCATTGTCCTGCAGGAAAAGTGAACTGATTTTGTATCTTTTACTGTAGGTCTGAAGCAGGATTTCTTTTCAAATTTGATAATACTTTTCTCCATCTGTTGCTACAAATCCTGAAAACTTTCCCTGACCCTGATGATGAGAAGGAGAACTGCAATGTAATGGTGCCATCTTTATGTTTGACAGTAGTGATGCTGTTGACTGAGTTGGGTTTACGTTTAGACCAAAAACTTCGATTTTTTAAATTGTCTGAGCACAGATCCTTTTGCCACATGTTTGCAGTAACTCTTAAATCTTTTGTTGCAAACTCAAGCAAGGATTTAATATGGGTGACCATCTTTGTGAAGTGACCAGCATATTCTACCCTTTCAGTAATTGAACTCACAGTTATATCCTTAACGAGCTTTGTCCTTTCCTGGTTTCTCTTGTTGGAGTGAAAGCCTGATCTAGTAGATGTCTTTCTTACAAGTGAAAGACTGCCTTGGTCTTCTTAATGATCACCTTCACCATGCCCAAAGAGATAATAAGGTTCTATACTCTTTATCTCCATGTTGTTTCATAAACTCGGTCTTTATGGTTGAATCTTTTCTCAAATTTCACTACCTGACTAACCGGCCCTACAAAGTTATGTTCAATTCTGAAATGTGAATTATTATTATTGCAGACAGATAGAGGGCTCTCCTCTAATAATTAAATGATTTAGTGGAGCTAAATTAATTTAGGTTTTCCACAGTAAAGAGTTTGAATCATCAATCATGACTGAAGAATCTATTTCTTCTTTCCTTGTGATGTGCATTGAATGTGTGAGAATGTGTATTAATTATACCCTCAAAGAACCATGATTACAATCTTTAAAGCAACGAAACATGAAAAATGTGGAAAGGTCTGAATACTTTTGTAAGACCTTCTTTCTGATGATGAATGGTTTGTTATACTAGTCAGCACAGGCTTCCACATAATAATCTGGAATAAAAAAGTCCTCAGGGCTATCTGCATGTCTATCATATAAGTATTATGAGAACTTTTTTCATTTCAGAATGTTTTCAGGTGTATTTACACTTTCATCCTTAATTAAATTGATAGTACAAACAAGAAACCACTTTATCTACTGTCTCCTCATCCATCCAAACGAATAACACATTATCTACATTAAAAAAGGTCTTCTTTTTTCTTTGGGGAGGTCTATGATTCCACAGTAGCTGCAGCTTAGGAAATGCCTCATAGTTTCATATTGAAGTTCCTACATGTACATGATGATACATCTTTAAGAGGTCTCATAATGCTGAAATGCACATTTCTATCGATGATCAAGATTTTGGCATGGCAGACATTGCAGAAGCAACAAAGGAAATCCTATGAAGAATACGAATTCAAGACATTGGAAAGATTATATTTAATGTAGGCAACCGCCATGCTACATGTTGCCGGACGACAAATATAAGATGAGAAACCCTGATCTTGAAGAACGCACGTGTGAAAATGTTGTACTGTAATATGTTTATGTTCCCAAATTAATATCGTTTATGACCTTCAGACCCATTATGCTCCTCTTCTTTTTATGCTCAGCTACTAAAATTTCCCTTTAGCTGCAAAATTCCATATTAATATTCAATATAAAGCAGATTAAAACACGCACAGTAAAGAGATTAAATGAAGCAACCGTTTCAGTAACAACCAATTCAAAACAAGTCCCGCCTCTTGGTCGTTTTGGCCAGCCAATCACATACTGCGGTACAACGCGGTGAACTGTAGTAATTTCCCGCGGTACGGGGTTCTACCGTGGATCTTGAATGGCTGCATCTGTGGTTGTTTACACTGAAACATGTGAAGCATCATTTTATTGTGGTTTTATCATTACATTGGGTTTCAAAAATTGATTTGTGGTCCAAGAAAGTGAAACACCAGTTAATTAAACTAGCTAAAGACTGCCATGTGTGACATTAGTTTTGCTTGCCACACTACTTGCGCACATCTTATCTAGCACTCGGAGTTGGGCTTTGTTGTAGATGGATGTGTTTTGCATTCAGCATAGCTGGGACCTTGCCTTCACTAAGTTAATTAAGTGAATTCGAGTTCATTAAGCTTCGTAGTGTCTTTCTTACCCCTCACCTCTACCTCTTTACCTCTTTTCTTTTACCTCAATCCTCCATTGAAAATAAGGAGCTCTGTTCCCAACATACCTTCTGTGTTTTTTTTCTTTTAAGTCTATAGATAGAAGCAGGCCTTCCCAAAACTCTAACTGTGACATTTTTCCCCCTTCCCTTTCCCTACAGTATCTCTTCCTAATTTCACCTGCTCTGTTCTCTTATCTATTTCTGGTCTATGAGCACCTCAAGTTTGGTCCCAGCTAAATCACGGCTAATTTTATTTAAATGTGAAAACACAGCTTAAATGGTGCTTGTTTCACTTTTAGCTTAATATTCGAAGTCTGCATTTGTGTGTTGGGGTTTCTTTTTGGGGAGTAACTGACTGCATTGATCTCAGAAAAGCAGTGTCATTACCTCAACCAGATGAGTTAAAGCTTAAGTATTAAGCAGGGTATTATTTTATATTCATTGACTTAGTTTGTTATTATTAGAAATAGACTGAACAACTGAAATTAGATGAGACAAATAAAAAAAAGCCACTGTAAATGAGAGAAGGCACTTGACCCAGTGTGCTTATTTGTGTCTGTTTTGTCTCATGACGGGAAGTACCAGCAATTTCTTTCCTGGCAAACACAGAGTGAACATGAGAACAGAACAAATAATTATAATCTGACAAAAAAAGAGAGTTCAGAGGAATAAAAGGGGATGGGGGTGTTTCAATTTTATATTTAAAGTAGCTTTCCTCATTAAGAGGGATTTCATGTAAAAAGATCACAATGCTGGGATATGTTAAAAACCAGTTCAGGGAAACCAGATTTCATGACAAATATATATACATATATGACATATTTTCTCAGAATGTTTTCAAAAACATGAAGTATACTGTAGCTTGGCAATACCAAATGCAAAAACTAGCTTAGGGCAAGTATTGTACAAAGTATTACCCCACACTCACTACCAGCTACAGGTTTTGCACTTAATTTAAAATCTAGATATACAGTAACTGATTTACAAGGAATTTTGCTTCAATAAATTTATATCAAAAGTGAAACATTAGTGCTTGCAACCTCATACAGTAACTAACTCTTAAAGATGCGTACTGTTTTCATACCTGGGTCGGTTGCTGATCATATCATCTTCAGTTTCTGCCTTACAGATTGATAATGGAGTTAAAAAGAATGCATGGAGGTTAACAGTCCTACTGTATATAATTATGTAACACAAAAATATATTTCTGTTTCTTCTTCTAATGATAAGCCACTGAGATTTCTAGCACCCGAAAACATAAAAAGAAACTTTTAGGGAGTTTTTTTTTAAATATTCACTTTGAGAACGGACCAAACAAAATGGGTAGTGTTAATCTTTTCAGAGGGAGTGGCAATTTAGTTATGTAAATATAATATATTTATAAATTAGAAAATGCAAACTGTACAGGTGTTCCACCTTTATTAACATTTTTCAATAGCAATACTCAATTCCATGTAATTCTTCTCTTCTGGTGTTTTTTTAAGCCCTAATATGATGGATTTATATAAAAATAAAACTTTTAAGTACATTAAAGTAAAAAGGGAAATATACAAACATTGAAATTAACCCACTGGGAAACAAAAGGCTTCTAGACCATCAGTCCTGTTCTCTTTAACAATTAATTGTCTCCAAGAAACGGAACAGACAAGCACTACTGTCACTTCACTGTACTGCAAATAACATTGTCCTTGTCTGAAATGATATGAGGGAGGGCCAGCAAAGCCTACAGTAGTCATAAGAATGATGAAGTACTAGTGATGACTGTTCTAAACTTAAACAATACTAAAGACAAGAATATTTTGGATACATAAAAAAACATGTGCCAGTAAGAACAATACATTGACATGTACAACAACCTCTTACAGACAGAAGAATAGATTAAGAAAAAAGGCATTAACTGGAAAAGACCCTTTTATTTATTTCTCTGAACCATGAAACAGCTTAAGAAACATCCTACAATTTATACAGAGGATATATACATTGTCTCAGGTTTGGTCAAATCTTCTCTTGGCATGCATTTTTTAATACAAAACAACTATATACACAAACATCTGAAGGCTTTCTTTTTTTTGTAAAAGGACATCTGGAAGCTCGGAATAACAAAAGAAGTATAAAGAAACAAAAATGTTACATAATCTTACAGGAGAATGTAGACAAAATGGGCATAATTATACAAAACAAAAATGGTTTCTCTAAGTCAAGAAGAATGAGAGGAATGTGGAATATGTCTATTACAAAAAACCTATATACCTATTGATTCATTTCTATGAATAACTGTCAACACAACCTTAGTGATATAGAAATTTACACAATTCTTTAGGGGCAAAGTACTGTGTATGAACATGTTAGGAAACAAATTGAGATAATTGCTCTGCAGAGCTTCCATTGAAGCTTATTATGTTTACATAAAGCTGCCCTAAATTGAGAGTAAACACTGCATGAACCAAGCAATGACTCTGAATTAAGCTCAATGAAATATTGTAGAATGAAATTGAAAATTGTCTCTTATTTATTTTAAATGACAATTTAATGGCTTTTCACTAGTACTGCACACTTTAAATATATTATAATTTTTTAAATGAAATGACCAAAAACACTCATCACGTCTGATCTTGACTAGCTATTTATAATATCCAGTCAGGATATTGTGGTTAATCTGAAGTTTCAGAATTTCAAATATTTTAAGTCATTCTGTGGTTAAAATGCAGCTTATAAATGGTTGAAGCTTCTCCAGAACTGCTGAACCAATAGCCATAGCAACACGGTTATATAAGCATAAGGCATTGATGCTCAGTTACATGATTGTGTTCAAGGTGACACTTTAACAGTCAGCATTTCACCCCCAGAATGTATTCAAATCTTTGACATTCTGATGTGCACTGATTTAAGATCTATAATATCCTGTATCTCTGCTACCAGACAGCAACTCTCTCTTTGGCTACAAAGAGAATGATAATGATTAATAAAATAAAATGAAATTTTAAATTAAAAACTGAGTAACAAATATAATGTAATTATGGAGTGCAAGAAACATTTACTGTGAATAAGGCTCCGCAGCTGAAACACTGATTTTTCTTCTTGCTTTTCAGCAAGGAATCAATGTGTAGTTGCTCCTTTGTGGCTCACAGCTCCCCAAACTGAACATCATTTACCCTTAAGTTAATGCTCAATACATTGTATGGCAAAAAAGAACAGGTAGAAAATAAACATTTGTTGTTGAGGTAAAGAAGAACACAAAGGTATCAATACTATACACAGTAACCATAACAACCTAATAACTAACTGAAATCTATCACTGGACAAAAATGTTTATACAGTTAATTACTTGACTTTAATCCATGGAAGAATTAACTTTGACAGCTACACTTGTCTTCCCACATTTGTAGTTCTGAAAACCAGAGACTGTTATTAACTATAAATATTACATCTATATTAAAAAAGGCAATGACAACATTATTTCAGCATTTTAAAAAATAACGCAAATTCATGATTTAAATAGAAATATTTAAAAAAAAGCTAGTTTTTGACATAATCCAAGAACATTTCTGGGGCATGATTTCAATTGTTTTCACCGACGAACAAACGTAGAATTCTGTTTTTGGAATGTTTTAAGTACCTTTTTATGTTTAACATGTTTAGGCACTGCCCTTGAGGAATTACTTAAGCAATGCAAAAACAGGAATTACATAAAACCTTTTTTCGCCAATGAAATTACTAAAACAGCTTATAGCCTTTGCTAAAACAACTAATTTGTATGCAATCTAATATTTAAATGAACATATTTCTTTTATGAAGGAACGGAAATATTCAAAACTATTATTGTTGACTAGCGTACTCAAATAAAAAATGTATTTCATAATGTTCTTTAGTAACCAACTACGTTTGCCTTTTCAGTTCACAAAATTGGCACAATACAACAGTGCTATTTAAAATCTCCCAATTAATTGTGTAACATTGTACTTGTCGCCATTAAAAAGAATAACTGCTGTCATTATATACAGTCATGATTAGGCATATGTGCACAACATAATGATTTAAGATTTAGTAGTGCTAAAAGAGACTTTGGCTTATAAACTAAGTAGAAGGCACCACTGTCATTACAATATGAGGTCCTGGAATTGAAATAAAATTGGTTTATTCTTAGAAAAACATCCTTAAACCTTTTGCAGTGACTTGTGCTGAGGAAAAGATCAACAGGCAGAGAGCCAACATGACCATAATGATATGTAGTGCAAAGTGTCAGCTTTAATTATTTTCTCCAATCTGCACATAGGATGGACCACAGAATGCAATGAAAACAATATTAAACAACTAAAAAGCAAGATTTACATCTAAAGTAGCAAAAAAGAAAAGTTGCAGAAGATAAGAAAATCAGGGGGAGGAGGGAGTTTGAAAATTAAATCTTTGCAGACATCTGAAGATTGTTTCTCACAAGTCATAAGGAAGGAAAAGCAATACATCAAAATGTATTTCATTTTACTTTTGTAATTGCAATCAATTTTCTTTTTTAAGCTGCCCCAATTCTGGAATTGAACAATGATAAACAACTCAACAACAGCATTTTGAACCAATATTTCGAGAGATGTAGACTGCATTCATTTAATCTTCCAAAATATACAGTACTCCAAATGATACCTTTATAACGAAGACCCATGCTGGATACAGAGGCCTATAGCACAAGTGAGATTGTATCAGACTTCCTAACTGTATCAGACTAACTGCCTTGTCAGGTGTCTGATTGTATAACCAGGAGGACTGAATATCCAGTTCAAACAGGAAATAATCACATTCTAAATCAGCACAAAATTGATATATACAAAATGAAGCTCACTTGGAACAGTAACAGTAATTGTTCTGTTATTCTGAAGACGGTATCACTGTCACAAACACATTTTTGCTTTAAATATCTCCCTCCACATATCCTCTAGTTTGTGCTGGTTCTGAAAGTGTTGTGCAGGTTTTCTGACTTCCTGTATAGAGCATTCTTTCATGTCTTGCTTGCTGTTATTTAAATACGTTTGAAAAAGAATGCTTGTAAAACAACAAAAAAAGTTGATTAAGCTTGATTAAATTATTGTTTTAATTTATTAAATGAAGACAAATGTTACATACATAGAGCTGTTCCTATCCTTTACTCCTTTAATTTTTTAAGTGGAGCTACTGTAATATTTGCTTTGAAAACAGTCAAATCCAGGGTACATCTATTCTAAACATTATTTATGTTTAATTTATGTTTTTTGATACAGTTAATGCTGAATATATTAACTGTATATGAACCTAATGCTTGACAAGAATCTCTTGAAGGTATTCCAGAGATGACAGCAACAGATCTCAGAGATCAATCTGTGTAGGAAACATTGTTAATAAAATAGCTAACATGAACGATCATTCCTGCACATTGTGCATTTATTGTGCATTGTCTCAAATTATGACAAATAATTCCTGGCTAAAGCTACTTTTGGCCCACCTGAAACTTGTATGGACATCTTTCAGTACCCTTTTTTGCTTTTTTACTTTCTCTTCAATTTCTATTATTCATGGAACTCAACAAACAAATATGTCAGCATTTTTCACATTTCTGATGGAAAATTACGAAGAAAATGTTATTAGGATTTTAAACTCTTTAGTTGTTCCCTTTAAGGTTTTCACTGATTATTGATAAAATGGGAAATAAACGTAAACATAATATAAAGGGATTAAAAAAATGTTTTAATTTTAGTGCAACTCTCAAAAATGAAACAAAAAACATGCATTTCAGATTAAAGGAATGCATCATTTAAGAATGAGGTGAGGATCTCGTGCCACCTCAAGTGTTTGTTTCAAGTTTTGTTTCAAGTCCATCATTTAAACATAACAGTCCTTCTACTGTATACTGCACAAACCAGTCAGATTGGAGAAAACTGGGCAAATTTAGTGATATTCAACTTACAGCAACATGAGGCTTGATTACTGTACTTGGACCTAGATTCCCCCCATCTTACACATCAAGATTTTAAAACATTTTCCCCCACCTTTTGTGTTTTGGATGTATTTCTAAATATTCCGTCAATTAAGATAGGCATTGTAACTCAGGACTGGTGGGTTGTGGGTTTGAGTGCCTATTGCAGACATTGCTACTGTTACCCCTTTGCTCCAGTCCACCCAGTTTTATAAATAGGGACCAGCATTGCTAGGCAGTTGTGGGGGGGGTAATCTGTATGATGCACAGACCGAGGGGGGAATCTTCTTCTGTCTAGTCTGTTTAAAGCTACAGAAACTAGGATGAGATCTGGTCTGTTGAGCCCATGGGGCTCGGATATGAAATTGACTTCTCATTACTTCAGATTTTTATTTGTGTATTATTTCCATGTTCCTGTGAGACCTGTTTGTGGTGTCTACTGCATTGTGCGCTCTCATGGCAATCATGAGAATGTTGTGTTGTTTTATCCAGCATGAAGTAAAATAAATGTTTCTTTAATACAGTATGCAGAGTAGCTATTAATTGGGCCATTTCAGTAAATTATTATATAAAATGTGGAGAATATTAAGAGCTATTAACAGAAAGTGATAAAGGTATTTTTAATGTAGATGGAATACAAATTTTCAACTGCATGTTGAATATGTTTATATTAAAATTTATAGTAGTCTTTTAAAAATAAAATATTGTATGCATACAAAAAATGAGAATGCTACATATTGAAAGAGATATGGCAGGGAAGTTTAAAAGCACATCATCTGGGACACAACACCTTGCTGAGCTGTATTCCTAAAAGTTTAACATCACGTTTTCTAACCCTTATGTTAGAAAGGAGCAAAGAATTATTTGATCTTATTGTAGTAACCTAAATAACCTGTAACATCCTTCCATCTTTTTCTCACTAAAAAACAAGCAGGTGGTACCCTATGTGATGATCAAAGTTTTATGAATACAGCTCATTGTCTTTTAAAGTGTAACATCAGTGTTTCCATTCCACAATAGAAATCACACTAATATTAAATTACAAATAATATTAAAAATCTATGTACACAATTTTCTACCATCCTAAGACAAAAAAAAAATCAGCCTATACTTATATACACATAGTTTACAATTGAATAAAACGCTTGTGGAAAATCTGCTAAAATTTCAACCTTTAAAAAAAACAACTAACGACTTGAACTGGATCATGCCTAGCCATCTATATTGTAAATTGTTTCTTATAAAAATGGTCTTTTTCCACAGCTTTTCCATATCTTTGAATGGAATGATTAAGGAACTAACGAGATGCCATAATCACAGGCACTTGTCATATAAATAGAACAAATGTTAAATGAAAGGACACTGGAACAAACACAATGCTCTTTCATAAGTACAGGGCCAGAGGTGTCAAAATTACTACTTTTGCTGTATACCCAAGAAGCTTGGATTTGAGGTGAAAAGACGAGTATGAGACAGAAGTATACAGAATGGCACCTTTTAATTCTGGGTGCTTCTGTGCTTATAAGTTGTACATTTTCAGCATAACGACACTTTTTATGTTAAACCCCCCCACTTTAAGGTGAGCATAAGTATGACTGTAGGAAAACTGACTGCCAGGTGTTGCAGTGATTGTGCTCACATAAAAAGCTGTGAACATGTAGTGTTTGATTAAGTCTTTGCTCTTCTCTTTGGTGTCTCTGAAGACTAGAAAACAGTATATGAAAGAAAAACAAGCCATTTAAATGCTTAAAGAAAAGAAGAATTCAAGTAGAACTATTGTACAGTAACTGGGCATAGCAAAATCAACAATTCGGAACATCTTGAAAAAGAAAGAACCCACTGGTACTTAGCAATAGGCAACGACCAGGTCGGCCAAGGAATACAACTGCTGTTGATGACAGAAAAAGGTAGAGCTGTGAAGAAAAACTCTAAAACGACTTTTGCTGAAATCAACAACAACCTCCATAAAGCAGGGGTGAAGATATCTCAATGTCAGCAGAAGAAATGTCAGCAGAAGAAAACATAAAGGCGACACCACAAGACACAAACCTCTCATCAGCACCAAAAACAGAACGGCCGGATTAACATTTACTAAAAAGTACAGAGATGAGCCAGTCGAGCTCTGGAACAAAGTTTTATAGACAGACTTCTACCAATGTAATGTCAAGGTGAAACTGGAGAAAGAAATGAACTGCAAATGATCCAAAGCATACCACTTTATCTGGGAAACAAGGTGGGGTGGTGTCATGACGGCTGCCTCTGGAACGGATTCACTCATCTTTATTGATGATATAGCTAATGATTGTAGCAGCAGACTGACTTCAAAAGTGTACAGAAGCATCTTGTCTATCTATGTAGAAGTACTGTAAATGGCTCAGTGGCCGGCACTTCATCGTGCAGCAAAACTATGACCCAACTATGACTGACAACACAAATAAGCAGTTCATTAATAGGAAAAAAGTCTTAGACTGGTCAAGTCTTTCTCTTGATCTAAATGCAATTGAGCATGCATTTTCCTTTCTGAAAAGGAGACCGAAGTCAGAAACCCTCCAAAACAAAAAGCAACTGAGAATGGCAGCTTGACGAAGGCTTGACAAAGCATCTCAAAAGATCAAACCAAGAATTTAGTGATGACAATGGCCGGCAGACTTGATGCAGTTACTGAGTACAGAGAATATGCAACCAAACTCGAAGTCTCTTACTACTTTCATTTACTTCAAATTAATATCTTTCAATACTTATTCTCACCTAAAATGGGGGGATGGAACACAAAAAGTAGTATTATTCTAAAATGTTAAAGCATGCTTAAATATGCACAGAAATAATGAGAAATAAAGGGTGACATTCTATACTTTTGCCTGATATTTATTTTTTCATCTGAAATCTGTACTGCTCGAGTATACAGCAAAAACAGTAATTTAACTTTACTATCCCAATGCTTAAGAAGGAAATATACCTACTGTAGAATGCTGTATGTTACAGTATATAAAGGCTTTGACCTGCAGATGTACTTACTATGTGCGAAGGCTGGCAATACATTATGGCTTTGATATCAACCTCTGAGCAAGGTTACAAGAGTTCAAAGTTATATTATAAGCAGTGTGACATTTTGAAAGCTTGTTTTCTCGTATTTAATTGATTCCTGCTTGAGATTTTTGAGAGACAGAAGAATAATGGAGATGACATTTAATAAATGTCACATGTGACTCAGGCTCCTGGCATTTCGAGCAGATTTTTAAAATGTTTTTCTTTTGTAAATGTGATAGTATGACATCCTACGTGACATACCGCACTCAGCACAGTGCTGAAAGTCAAGGGGCTACACCCATGCTCACAGCCTTTAACGTAAAAAAAACACAAACCGAACAAGGTTCGGTTTTTGAAGTCAGACAGATTATGACCGCTTTCCTGATCCTGTAAATGTTGCGACAAACATAGCAGTTCAAGACTAAAAACAGCAGGCAAGAGTATGACATTATACTGCAGAAAGCTGTGTAGGTCTTGAGGCAGGTAAGTCAAGGAGGGCCTGAACTGTAATGCCCACTTTCACCAGTCCTCTTTCTTCTAAAATGTGATGAGGCAAACACAGCTTGTCCTGGAATATTGAAAAAAACTATTAATGTCTGGCAATGTTGTAATTCCCACTGAAAGAAAGGTAATACTACAGCATTAAAGAAATTATAAAGAAATGGTTATAAAGCACAATTTTACACATTACAAAACTAACTTATTACATTTTTGAATGGGCAAAAGTAGATGAGCACAACATCCTGGAAAACACTTACATTTTTAAATATTGACATTTTCAAGAGAACAATGAGTTATAAGCACTCGTGTAAAAACAAAAATGTAAGCAAATAAAAACAAATAAAGCAGAGGAATTACCTGTGGCACACCTAGCTTTTTACATGCTTCCAAGAAGTTTTCCACATTTCGTCGGCACTTTGCCATGCTTAATTTAGGCTGAAAAAGAAATTATATAAAATAATGTTCTCTATCTATGTTTCCAACACAGCAAAAAGAATTAGAAGAGGACTTTTAGGCACCTCTGACAATTCTACGGCCACCCCAAAAGAAAGGGAAACTTTGCCAATCCCATTTTGTCCTGTATAACACACTTCACTTACTGAATGATGTCCCTGTACTATAAGTGCTCAAAGCTACATGCATCCAAGGTGTTTCATTTTATTGTTGAGCCAAGATATCATTTTTCTTGGCTGAGAAACTTGTAGTACAAGAGGAATATATTTAAATAGAGATTTTTTTCAAAGGGTTTCACTTTCAATATATTAAAATAACTCTGAATTAATAATACTAATGTACTTAATTCTTAGTACTTAATTTAGTAGTACCTCTCCCTGATACTAACTGCCTTTAGAAAATCTAGACACTCTCTTTTCATGCTGTGGCACATTAAATCAGAATTTATTAACACATTCTTCCTTTATAATCACTTTTCAGAATGTTTGAACATTTGTTTTTCACTTGGAGGTTGTGTTTCACAACATGCAAGTGAGGGTAAATAAATTTGAATTTAATCTATCTTGATATCAGGCTGTTAGGACACAAAATGCATTACTATTGAAAGGGAGTGTAGACTTTCTATAAGCACTGTGTGTATATATATATACATACAAGGGAATGGAGTTTAAAATATAATAGTAAAAAACAGATTTCTAGAAATTATTCAAATTATATAGTAAACCAGCTTTGATATACTGTATATATTTATACACTTTTGTTTCAGAAGTTTTATTTTACTACAGCTAAAGACAGATGAATGTCAAGTCCTTTTCAAAAAGAACAACAAATACCAACTCTGACAGCACAGTTCCTGAAAAACGAATTGTGCTTGAGTACTGGAAACAATTATATCCTATAAGGAATTGTAGGAAATATTAAATATTACTACTGATAAAAGCAGATAAATTTACTGCTTCTGTAAATCCTGTGGTTTGTCCAGTAAAACACTATCTGAAGACACTTGTGAACTAGCTGTCAATATACTTTAAGAAAAAAGACATACAGCATAAACAAGGAAGAAAACTGTTCCGAGTGTGCCTGTTTTTATTAAGAAAGATATTCAATGTTTAATTAGATTAACAATATATGCTGCAGAAACAAAAGATGCAGGGATATTTTAAAACCAATCCTGATTGGTTTTAAATTATGATTTGTACTCAAATCACTTAATGTACTGGAAATTGATGAGTCTTGATAGGCTAAATGATCTATTCTCACCATTAACTTTTCTTGCAAGCTGTACAGTACATAGTGCCTAACAAGATTGTTCTGATTAAAAAAAACAACATTGCACAACGTGCCATTCAGGTTGTACATACCGGCCATCCTGTAAACTCATTAAAAAAAACACATTAATGTTTGGCATCCTCTTATCTTGTTAATTATCATCTTGTCAATTAAAGGTTTCATCTTGTACCTAGATATGAATCAAGAACGAAACCAGACTGCTTTCAAATTCATTGAAGTGATTGTCTTTCTGTGATTTCTGTGTCACAATTAGACGTTTCATAATTTCCACTTTATTATTTACGGTTTCCTTTGCCTAATCAATCTGCCACTAGTTGATCATTTTTGTCCTAAGCTACATTGGTCGGTAGTGTAAAGATTTAATCATTTAATCTCTTTACTGTGCACATTTTAATCCGCTTAGTATTGGATATTTATATGGAATTTTACCACTAAAGGGAAATTTTAGTAGCTGAGCATAAAAAGAATAGGAGCATAACACATCTGAAGGTCATAAAGGATATTAATCTAGGAACATAAACGTATTATGTAAACTGTGTATTGCTGGTATTGGTATTTTAAAGAAAATATACACACCAGTATTCCATTTCTGCCTAAACATTTTAAGCATCAAAGTCTTACATGTGGTTATTTTGAAACGTTTTTATGTGCTCCTTCTGACTATATTCTATATTCTATATTGATATGTGTGTTGCTGTTTCAGTGCATATCACATGACTTGCTTTGATGGCGTGACAGCTTAAGTGACTGATTTATAAGCCTGAGGTCGGGTGTTCAAATCAAATCGCCTACCGCGTTTTACTGCGGCGTACCCTGCTCGTTTTAAATGGCTGCATCTGTACAGTATGTCTGGTTAAAAGACATGTAAAGTAACCCTCCCTTATATCATCATTTAAGTATTAATGCATTGCTTTTAAGTTAATTAAAATAGCACTGAGCTACTAAAACAAACAACAGTAATCACAAATGCATAGCAATCAGCTAAAATAAACAACATTAATCCTTCCTCTGCTCCCAGGGGAAACCAGAACTTTCTCTCTCTGCCTTTTCATAACAGTGCTCCGTGATTAGCATGCGCCACTGTAATGAAAATCACAAATAAGCACATTTGCTAATGTTAAATTCCCACCCTACTGTACTGGGAACATTTTCTTTTCTTTTTGAGGCACTTGGGAAGAGCACTACAGTATATAGTATCAACCATCCCTAAATCAAAGGAATCTACCCTGCAGAACTGTGATTTGGCCAAGCCTATGTGCTCTTCTTCTTCCCAGTGGTGTTTGAACTGATTTATGAAATCAGGACGAAAAAGGATAGAATGTAATCTGAAGAGGTGGTCTTTGATAAACTTCAAGACAACAAAGCAGACTGAGAAGTAAGAAGACACCGTTCTTAAAGACATCAGTGATTTCTCCGGGGCATTCTCAAACATGTTCCAAACCACGAATATAAAAAATGTTACTGTAAGAGGCCTTTTGGCACTTCTTTCTTATTTCTTTTATGTACTTTATTCATTAATTGATTTGGGCACCTTGAATTGCCACCCTTGGGGATGAATAAAGTATTTTGAATTGAATTGATCCCAACCAACTGTTTTCCATTAGCCTGGCTGAACAGCTACCACAGCAAAGGTTGGCAGTGTGCTTTTTATATACTCACGGATCTGCCCCGTTTTCCATTGTATACCCACTTGTACTTGTACTTAAAGGTTAAGTAAACCTTAAGGAAAAATGGCACTGACAACTACTTATAGTTATGTTACATATTATTCATAACTGGGAAATTGTTTTATTACAGTTTTGTTTTGGTTCCAAGCAACAAAAATGAACCCTTCAGCAAAGAGCAATTTTCCTGACCCAAACAAGTCGTTCTGGTTGAGCTGCAGCCTCAGCAGAAAGTTAGATATGAGCCTTTTGTTTCCTTTTGCTTTTTTTTTTACCAGAATTGTTTGCTTAAACAGATAAATTATTTGGGGGAGGGGGCACCTACTTCGATAGCATTATGTGATAACCTTAGTTACCTTAAAGCAGACATAGATTAATGAGCTGGACAGAATCTAAGTGATCAATCTCAGGTTTGATTGAATAAACATGTTTCAGTTGCATTAAACAATTAATAGCTCTAACCAAACCTACGGTGGGATAAATCCACCCATTTTGTAACTGCTTTATCCAATATGGAGAGTTTGGGAGCCTACCTTGGATACATATCATCATAACTATGTTTTTAAAAAGTACAGTAATTCTCATTTGAAAATACATACATATTACAAGAAAGTCATTATTAAATTAAATATTAAAACACTTAAATACAAATTGTAAGTAATTGATGGTGGCAATTAACTTTGCCGCCTCAGATGTATTGGGTCCTGAGTTTGATTTCAGCATTGGATACCTTCTGCGTGGAGTTTGCATGCTCACCACACATTTGCAAGGGACTTCACAGAGTGCTTCAGTTTCCTTCTACAGCTGAAAGACATGCTATCTAGGACTATCAACTATGGTCTCTTAATTTTCTTTCCTTTATATATATATGTGTGTGTGTGTGTGCCCTGTGATGAACTGGCATCCCACCTAGATCTTTCCTGTATCCACTGTCTGCCAGGTTACGATCTGGCTCACCCTGTTTTAACCAAGTGGTTAGTGGACGTGGACCGAAATAATTCAAAATGAGATGACAGATTGAACTACGTAACTTGACAATACGTAAAGTACTGTACTTTAAAATACTTTTCATAAATATGTAATCTAATTACTATTTTTCATGCAAAAGATGTTTAGTCTTGTCCTCGTTAATCTTTCATCAATAACCAGTTACACCAGCTGCAGTTAATAAAGCAACTATTTAAAAACGGCACCTGAGCTGTCAAAGTTTATTTTCAGTAGATGGGAGCAAATTAGTTTAAAATTTATTTAAATAACTTTAGAAAATGAACATTTATCTTAGGTTGTCTAAGAAATAGACCATTATGTTATCTTCTGGAAACTGCTCTATTTCACTTAGATTGACTGAAATACCAGAATGCTTTATTTTACTGGGAAACTAATTGGAAACAATAAAGTAAGAGTTGAAAATGTTAATACTTAAAGAGACTTTGAAAAGTTATGCAAATGGAAAAATTCCACACTTCTTAGCTCTCGTCACTGGTCACTGGTTTAATGGTTGTTTCAAAGTTATCGAATTGAACATGTTCAGCATTTTCCTTGTCAGAAGCATGAACACTGCTACAACAATCTGTGTATATACTCCCACTTACCGTCAACTCTAGTCATAAATCAAATGGCAGCGACGCCTCTAGCAACAGCATGCCTCTACTAATGCCAAAACTGCATCATATTACTTAAATTTTACAGATTACACAAGTTTACAACACATTGTGTCTTCTGATTCTGACTAAGATGGCTAAGAACAGATTTTCAAAGGTCCTGCTCCTTGCTCTATAACAGTATCTCAAACTTAGGCCTGGATAGCCTTGTGTCTTAGGGTTTTTGTTCCAACCTGAGCAGTCAATGAAACAATTATTATTAATAAGACATATTCACTGCCTATTATACTAAACATTATTTTCTTTTATAGGCACAGCTAGCTATGAATCACCTTGGAGCCTGGTTAGAAGTATTACAGTTATGCAGCTAATTAAATAATTAGACCTTCTTTGTAAATAAGAATGTGAATGGACCAAAAACACACGACACTAGACCATCCAGATTTAGAGTTTAAGACCCCTGCTCTATGAGTTGCAGCACTTAGCCAATGAAAATCCCTGAAAGACTGGCAGGCTTCTCAGGGATTAAGAACTATATATTGACAGGTAAGGCTACATACCAAAGTGCCTGCTGCGCTTTCTCAATGCCTTATCTTTCTCTTAGGGTTTTCTAAACATGATTCTCACCACTGCAGGAGAAGGGACATGAATACTGGCCACAGAACGAGGTCGAATGTGATTGGCTAGATGGCAGAGCACGACCCCATCCATCAATGCTGCCCCAACATCATCAGGCAACAGGACTTTCAACCTGGATTCAAGGTTCTGCATTAAAAAAAAAAAATCAACAATAAAACAAAGATTTTAGAAAAACTTTCTAGAGCATACATTTGATGTAATTACAACAGAATGTAGTGTACATCCATATCTGCAATATAATATGTCCTGTTGCATGCTGGACACCAGTGAGTATGACTCTCTTGTTGTTTGGATTGGCAGTAAGAAGCAGAAAAGCATTCTCTAAGATAAGCATTAATAATAAACTGCTGAATGCTAACATGCATAGGCTGTATCCAGTGTAAATTCCCCTAAATCAACCTGAAACTGTAAGCCATTTTTCATTTCAGCCAAGCTCTCAATCATAATCAATACCTAAATTGACTTAAAAACAAGGGTTAATTTGATTTTTCGAATCCGTTTGCTGAGAGCTGTGTTGGAGAAGTTACTTGAGATCTCTAACGTCTAAGAAAAAACTTTGCTGGAATGAAATGCTGGTGTGTGGTCCCCAGCACCAAGGCTGGCATCCCCTGCAGGAATTTTTGAAGCAACGCTTAACTAACTCACTACGTTCAAATATTAGTGGCATTTTACTCACATCCCGAAGTTGTCTTATCTGTTCCATCTCTTCCCTCAAATGTTCCATTTTCCTTCTCATTGTGAAACCTGGGTCCACAGCACCATAGTCTTGACGGCTGCTTCGCGAGAATGCTGTGGTACAGTATGAATGAAAATACAGTAGGAATGAAAAATGAGACCGCAAAACCAAAAAAAATTAGGTAATACATTCATGCAAACTCTCTCATATGCATTTAAGCGTCTCCTGTAAAAACAGTTGCATGCCTGAACTCTCAATGCTGTGTCTATTACACAAAATAATAGGTCCTTCTAAACCTTTTTTTTTTATCTTTGAGCAGAACAAAGACAAGTATTTATTTTTCAAATAGAAAACATAAATTATTACATTACATTAGCTTTGATGTGCTGTAATGCACTGTTTGTTGTGAATTAAGACATCATTTTACACCAGTTGAAAGTGTTATTAAACTGTACAGTACATCGGGTGGCACTGTGGTTAAGGATCTGCGCCTGTGGCTGGAAGTTTGCTGGTTCAAATCCCACAGCTGGCAGAGGAATCATACTCTGTTGGGCCCCTACAATGGCTAAAGGGTACTATGGCTGACCCTGTGCTCTAACCCCCAGCTTCTCTCCCTGTGTGTGTCTCATGGAGAGCAAGCTGGGGTATGTGAAAAGATGAATTCCTAATGCAAGAAATTGTATATGGCTAATAAAGTGATTGGATTCCCTTTGGGGGTCACACCAAGAAGATTTCTCATCTATGGCTGCACATGTTTCTCCAAAAAAGATGACAACACAAAGATGCACCTTGTTCCTCTATTACCCAAGCAAACCCTTTGGTTTTTTCAATCAATAACATCATTTTCTATTTCAGACAAAGTGGCAAAAAATGCTTCATGAATATGCCTCGAAAGGGAACAGAAACCACTGAAGTGATAATAAAATAGTATGTCTGCAACTTACACTTGAAATGGCAAATAAAAAGGCTTCTCAGTAGAGTAAAGCCAAGTTTATCAAAGAAACCTCATTTACTGTATCTCATTGCTTAAGTCAAAAGGAACAGAACTAAAAGGATGAGGAACAGAACAAATATGTGCTGTTTATGTATTTGCTTTTCAAATACCCTTATATACTGTAGTGTTAACCATGATCAGAATGGTTTGTACATTGTTTTCTACTTAGTATCAAGCCACTACATATGTGAGTTTTTTATGATTCTATAAGGTCTGGCAAGTTCCACCTCAGTAAAAAAAAATAGTAGGGAATGGAGAACACATTTATTTTCTTTTGAACATTTTGAAATCACAGTAAATAACACTACAAAAGTTTTTAACATGAATCCACACATCTCAGAAATTACTTTCATTTCAATAACAGAAATTATAAATTGTAGAAAGTACCAATTAATCTAACTGAGAATCCCTTAGCTTCCATGTTTGACAAAAACCCTCTTGCTCAGAAAAGTTATGAAATTCCACTCCCTTTCCTCACTTAAAAACCCCATGTGTGATGTTGTCTTTTCCAGTAAAATCATGGAGCACAGCTCCAATCTTGGGAGGTTTGCAACATCTTCAGGTTTTCATTCTTCTTGAACTCTCAACTACCCTTTTAACTGCACCATCTTAAGGGTGTTTCCCATTTCTTACAGCTAAAATTACAGTACTGTACTCAGGTAAAAAAAGGAACCATACAGCAAATCCTGCCTCAGCATGTTTGGTGGGATAAAAAAGAAAACAGACAGGAAAATCATGACCCGTAAATATGAAGAAAGTTTTGTGTTTTTTAAGCAATGTGGAATCTTGTAACATTCCTTCATTTCCTTGCTTGCTTAATGGATGAGTTCTTACATTAAACTGCATTTTCTTTCTGGTACTGTCAATCAAGTCTGAATTATAAAGTGTTCCAGTTCAATAACATCATTCATAAGGCTGGAATTAACTTCAGCAATAGGTGTCAGTGATTTAAAGAACTGAGAAAACCCATTAGGTAACAGCTCTACATGGCCAAACTTGTGCACATCTACAGAAATTGTTCATTCATAGCACACACTGTGAGACATATATTAAGGTTATAAGTCAATAAATTACAAAGTGGTCTGACTTAAACTGAGCAGTTCTGCTTTAGCCATGTTCTTATTTTTAGGCAGAATGTTAATGCGGGCAGGATGAATTGTAATTTGAAAAAATCTTTTAAACAAGACATAAGAGTTTCACTGTTTTTGTCACCTGAACAGTCAGGTTTTGCCTACAAAGCTCTTTTTGTAGACTTTGCAATTAAGATTTGCTCAAATATAACAGATGTGCAGACAATACAAAGATAACTGAATAAATGTAGTAGATCGTAATGCCTTTACTCTCTACCTTTATGAGCAATAATCTTTTTCTGCAGATGGTGAAACCAGATGTGGTGACAGTATGAAGTTTTTTTAAGGAAACACCCATTAACTTTTCAGCTCCTCAGCTATGTATTTACAACATTCAACACAGATTAACTTCTTGGAAACTCAGTCTTTATTAAACTTTGGCAGTGAGGAATGGTGTGGTTGGGCTGACAAGTTCAGAAATAGAGAAGTTCCCAGTTACTATAGTGTGAACACTGTTTGGGAAAGAAACCAAAGTTGAACAAAAACAGTCAAATAAAAAACCAAGTACAAATATATATACAGTTTATTTCTATTTACTTTACTTTGGTCTTTTTAAGAGTTACTGGCTGGAAAACACTGTCTATAAGTTTATTTTCTGTATACTGTATAGGACTAATATTTATCTACTCACAGATAAATTAATTTAATTAGCTTTCTTCTTTTGCTGACAGTTATTGCACAGTTAGGTACCTTGAAATGTATTATAATTAATTTGAAAGTGCCACTTTGTGGGACTAAAAATCCAAGTATAAAATAAGGTCAAAACTTACAGTATTTTCCAAAGCATCTACAGCTAGAGATAAAAAAGAATGAAGTATGTCACAGCCAACTTATACTTAAAGAAATCTGAAAGAACAATCAACATAAGTTACTGTTCTGTTTAAACAAGAAACCATATTACTGTATAACTATAAACAGGTCTTTATGTTGACATAACTGACTTGAACAAATGCAGCATACTGTACCATACTGTCATACCATATATACATCCTTAATGGGTTACACCATTCATATTTTTGTTTATTGAAATGCAAGCAGGTAATTATCCAACAAATAAACTGACAATCCTAAGAACAATATCATGAAATACTCCCATTTATTTTATTATTATTAGGTATTGGTGCAACACGAAGATGATCTGTCTTTTCTGTCAAAATTACAGTCTAGTAAGAGCCTTGAGTCATGGTGCAGAACAGCTACTGGTGAGCAACAAGCTCAATCATACTGTATTTTCTAAAGGAAGTATGTGGCTCTGTGAAGACTAATATCCTCATTTGTCTGGATGTACAGAGATGAGAAAAGGTTTGTGAACCCCAGAGATAAATACAGAAACTTCACATTTCTACCATGATAGCCAGACATATCTGCAAACATTTGTTTATGAAAACATTGCAAGGAGAAAAACACTGCTCTCCAAAAGGAACACTGTGGCCCATCTGATTTTTCGTTACAAGTAAATGTTGCACAAAATGCTCTCTACCCTATCCCCAAACACTGTTTGTTACATTAATTGTAACTCTCACATTTCAGTAAATACAAAATTTATTTTTCCACTGAATTAGTTAGCAAAGGATGCTAAACAAATGGTTTAAGATATGTCTCCAGGGAAAGACAAATCTGTCATGTTATTACAATGCCTTGCAGTTATAACATGACTCAGAGAATTAATCAGGTGCTGAAAATGAAAATGAAGATGAGGATGCATCCTGAAATGCCACAGCAATTTAAACACAATTACAGGAAAAGGCTTGAAATTATTTGCATATATCAGAGCTTAACATCTTATCAGGCAGCCACCGATATCTATAAGCATGTGGTCTATGAGAGCAGAGGTGGGGAAGGTCAACCCCAGTTTTCTGTTGAAGACCTCTGAATACTCTGAAATATTGTTACTGTATTACTACTATTGTATTTGAGAAATGCCTTCACACAGGTATCTAGCAAAAAGCATACACCTTACAGCCACTCTAAAATAAAAACTACAATAGCACATATCTTGAGAAAATAATTTAACCGACACTATAATTATGATTGACAGGTAGAGCATCATAAACAAGAATGGAATGGCGCTGGGTATAAGAGCTGCACACAGTAAGTGCCTCAGCAAGTGCTCACTGGTTGTCTGGAACACTTCTGAAACAGTCAGTCTTGCACAGTGACAGCCTATGTTTGTCAGCTGACTGGAATGAAACCAGGCCTGCCAACCACACACAGCAACAGCACATAGAGGGGTACTACGGATATATTTTGTGAAGTTCTTAATCCATAACTTAACTTTACTGCACTTTGGCTAAGCTGTTTCTATTTCCCTTGAAAATATGCTTTAAACATATCACTTATAAGACAAGAAGAGCATCCATCCATTTTCTAACCCTTTCTTCCAACGCGGGGTCAGGGCAGAAGATTGAGCCTATTCCGGTAAATACAAGGGTGCAAGCCAGGGTTACACCCTGGACATGACGCTAATTAATCACAGGGCCAACACAGACATGCATATACTCAAATTAGGGCCAATTTTCCCAGAAGCCATTTAACCAATCATTTTGTTTTTGGACTGTGGGAAGAATCTGGAAAACCTGGAGGAAAGCCTTGCAAACATAGGTAGAACAAATAAACTCCATGCAAAGCGTATCCCTCTCTTAAAATGAGAAGCCATCTGTTAATAATAACAAGCTAATTGCGCAGGGGGGGGTACGGACTGCCGTTTTGGCTACATTTTCAATCTATGCAATGTAAAAGCAACAAATACAGTTGATCATATAAGACAGGTAATTTAATGACTGATTCTAACAGCTTATAAAAATGTTGTAAAAATAGTAATGAAAAACTAGTAAAAAAAAATAAGCCAAAAAGTAGCTGTTACCCAAACTAAACACAAACAATATAGATAGGATTACAAGCCGATTTCTCAGAAAATTAATAGGATTTTGCTGCCAGAGCATGATTAATAAAGCAGTGCTGAAAACAAGCTCATAGATGGAAAATGAATAGAAAAATGGCATGCTGTTCAAATGAAAGCTGAATTAAAGATGTTTTCTTATTTCAACAATAGTCCTGTGTAAAAGTTTTATTCTTTACTCTTTGATCTATGACCAATGCTTGGAACTGCTAAGCATAAACTAACTCTGTTCCCAGGGAAGATGAAAGATACAGCATGTGCATGTCACAACTCAGACATGCACCTGACTATAAGAATCCACCCCAATTTGTATGATGATCACAGCCATCAAATGTTTTTGAATAAATTTTAATGTACAGAACATCTGGCTACAGATTAAAGTCCTGGAACAAAGAAACCATTTTTATTTGACCTTCGGGAGTTAAGTGTTTAATGAAGTAGTGTTCAGTATGTGATTACCCTCACTATGTCAGAGCCACTGCAGTGATTTCATTCAAATCTATTCCAAATGCAATAAAATGTTCAAAATGTTTATGTTGTGAAGGAATCGTTCCCCATTAGATTTTTTTTGCCCAGGATCAACAACATTCTGTTTACGTTACCTTCATTCAAACATAATCATACAAATAAGTACACTGATCACTGCTTTGTTATTTTTGGCAAACAAATGCAGGTTATTATGATGAAATATGGTTTGATATGATTCCAAAAATGTTAACATTGTTTACATTTGATACAATTTGACTGTTGAGTGATGTACAGTAACAATATTTTGAAAACCTAAATGGTATGCTTAAGAAAATGTTAAAGCATTTGATTGGAAGAAAAATAAAATATGAATCGTTGATGGAATGTTGAGTCCAGATACATTAAATACGTCACTTTCACAGTTTGCTGTTTGTTTACTATGAGAAGTTTGTTTGTTAAAGGTGTGGCTTGTATAGGTGCTAGAGCAACTTCTTCAGGTAGAGTGATGGCGACACAGCTTAGAGGCAAGTTTGTGTCCTCTTATTTCCAAACCCCTTCATTTAAAGCAGCACTGCATATTGTGTATTTTTTCCATGGATTTCATTACGGTTTGTCATTGTAGTAGGATACTTTGTCTTTGGTTTAACGGCCAATACAGGTAATTTATTCATTAACAAGGCTTTCAAATACATTTTTTGAATAGAATTGACAAATATAGGGTTTTTGATATATTTTGATATGTCTGTATCCCGTGATTACTCTTTTGCAAATTGAGAGTGCAACATCAATCTGATCTATCTATAACAGAAATATGATTCAACAAATGCTTGCTGACTCAAAAAAAGAGAAAAATGTCTGAGAAATTTGTTTTTTTTTATTTTCCTACCCTAATAAAGTGTGCAGTCAGTTGATAGTGACAGATTTGTGTACCAACAACTAAACCACACAGTACACACACTTCAACCACACAGTACACACACTTCATAACCGTTCCCTTCCTCATAACAACTTAATTTTGCATCACTTTTTATTAAATATGTTGCTTAGAATTGTGCAGCAAATCCAAAATAAATAAATGACTTACTTTGGCATTCTCAGAATACATTTAGTTAAATATGTTATGATACTTAAATTGGAGATGTAATTATGTCACAACATTGTGATGATGTGATGCCACTCGGGCATTTTATCAAGGATTAATACATAAGGTAACTTAAATCACTGTAAAGCTGTAAAAACATGATCAGTATCAAAAAGGACTGATCATGAAGGTCAAAGATCTAAGAAACTGGCTATATTCTTGAAGTGCTAATCATGTAACAGAGTCCTGGTGGACTAAGATGGCATATGCTGTTAGCAAGGGAGAATGGAAGTTGAGGGCACTTAACACGTTAAGAAGAGAGAGGGGAGGTGATAGAGGTACCCCTGTTGAGCTTATAAACCTTTAATGAATGGGAGTGTCTCCTGTGCCAAGGAGTACTCTATTACTGTTCATGGTGGCACTGCCCCTGGCATGGTGAATAAATAAGGGTGCGTCTGATTTTTATAAGGAACTGAGTGTTTTAGGTTCAGTTTTGTTTTCTACACCTCCTTTCTTTAACATCGGCACAGCCTACAGCTTTTGTCACTCATACATATCTGTGCCCCAAGCATTCTTAGAACCCACATGAAGACAGGTAGTGTTAGAAGAGCTTGCTTTACTCTCACGTCTGATGTTAGCCAGTTTTCAATTCAAACACCTTAACACTCCAGTATGTCTGTAGCAATTGGCTTGAAATAGAATTAACTTTTATCTTAAATAGATCTACTGCACAGATTTAGTAAACAGCAATGTTTTAATTACCTGATCTTGGTTTCAGACCAAACACTGTAAGAGTTGTGTTACAGTCACTGGAGTGGATTCCACCCTGCAATAAAAGTAAAATAATGGGAATTAATATAATATTCTTAAACCAAGAACAGAAAGTTTTGAAACAGTTACAGTAGCTACATGTTTCTACACTTAAATTATTTTTCCTCTTCACTCAAGAAAAAACACCACAATACCACTGCATTTTCTAAAGTGGTTTTACATTTACTTTTTTTTCTACATTTTACAGTTACAGTCCTATTAAATGTATTTTTCTGACCATTATATAGGAGAACGAGGTTGAATATTATTAATAAATAATTTTTTCAAGTGGTTGCTTGCATAATATACTGTAGTCACTTTACTGTCATTCTGGAGAATTCTTAAAAAGTCATGTGTCATGCTTATTCCAGTAATTAAATGTATTAAAAATAGCAGAGTTTAGTATTTTGATAAACACAGATCTCCTAATACCTAAAAACATTTGCTAAAATCCCAAATTACTTTGAGAATACCTAATTCTGTAGCTAAAGGCTGAGCTACAGTATGTTGGCCTCATACAGTAATTGTCATAAGAACTGGTCAAAAACTGGTCAGCTAGAAGACATCCTTGGCTATCTTGCTTGGGTTGGATATATTACGTACAATACAAGGTCAATCCCCATGGGTATGTTTAGGTTTTCAACAACCAGTCAATATTTTGAAGCTAGTAACTGAAATAAGAATTTATGAAGGGTTACGAATGAAAGGAGGCCATTTGGTCCATCTTGTTCGATTGGTAGTTGCTAAATATAGTATATATATATCCTGGAACGTCAATAACACCAGTCAGACAAATCCTAGGAGGAACCACAGATCCATGTAGGCTAAGTACCGAGAATGAGTGAGAACTGCAAGTTTATCAGAATTTCAAAAACAATAAGACATGAATTACAGGGCTGTTAGTTAAACAGTTGTAACAGTGTGCTTGTACTCCTGCCTTTTGTATCACATTTCATGAATAAAATGTGTCACTAACAACAGTAAAACAGGACAACAATATTTGCAAATTGACATTACACAATTGATCAATAATCATTTTTTTCAAATTGGATGATGGCACAATACAGAACAGATTAATATGACACATAGTACTGTATATTCTATCTGTACAGTGAAAACAGAGGTGTAGGTAAACACACAAAACATTATTACCGATGAATTTTGGGTAAAACAAAAAGATCAGAACAGAGGAGCAAGAGATTCTGTTACTCCCTATGTTCTGTGCAGTCTGTTGGAGTGAATGTCTGCTGTCAGAAGTGGCGAAGGGCAGAAACCCTGTGTGCACCACATTCCAGAGTGAGAAGTACTGTTTTGTTTCTTGTGAATTTTAGAAGTTTTGCTTTGAAAAGTCTGAGATTGTTAAATCTATATTGTTTATTTGGAGGCTGATAAGTAGTTTAGCTGCTTGGGTAGGATAGTTAGGGACTTTAAGAAGTATAGTCAGGAGCTCAAAAAGAGGTTATGCATTTCTTCTGATATTTGATTGTGGTGCCTTTTCACTTTTTCCCTGAAATGTACAATAAAGCGCAACCTTAAAGCTGCGTGTTTGGTGTCTCTGTTGGCCTGGACACACCTAATGGCTTGTCACAAACTCCCATTCCTGTAACTTTAAGAGTTCATTTTCACTGACTCAAATTTCAGGTTTGCTCTGGCACTACGCTGCCTCTATCACGTAATGCACTTTTCTTTTCCGGGGAATGAGAGCTTAAGGCCTAAGATGTACACGTACATAATGTGCAAACTTTTTAATAATTATAATTACTGTACATGATAAAATGTGCTGATTTGTTTCGCATGTAATAAAAGAACCTGAAACTGCTTGTTTTTGGGCGGGCTTGCATTCATGAGCTGGCAACTCCCTTTTCTTCAGAAACTGACAGAAACTGCCAAACAAACATTTACAGCATCAGAGAAAACACATCAATACTGTCACTCATTACTAAAAAAAGAAAGGATATACCTAGAAGCCAGTGGCAGCTGCTCTGTTCAGATTTGAATACAGCTGCTTTTGGCCAGTATTACATTGTCTCTGTCCACACCTTTTAGACAGCATTCATCATACTGTGCTTGGGGTGCATATTTACCAAAGATTTTCCAAATCCCTAAAAGTAGATCTCTGCAATTTAAAATCTAAATAAAATGAGCAATTATAGATTGACACATGACTGACTTTGTTCATATTTACCTCTTAAATTTATAACATACAACAGAAGAAACTCAAACACAAAACCTAAGCAGGTTGCCTAACTAGTTTAAAGCATATGAAATACAAAAGACATTTTACTGTGGTTTGTACAAAAAAGCATTAACTATATTCGGGCTATTTCACACTCTTGCAAGAGTACCTTTCAAATCTTTTAATTGAAGCTGTTTTGTAAAATACAGTATATACTCAACAGGGCATATATATTCACACAGAGCTCATGGTGATACCACTAAATATTTTTCAATCCTGGCTCAAGCGCTTTGATAAAGAATGACAATGCAAGACGATCATCTGCCACCTTTATCACCAGGTTTGGAAACAGGAAGTATAAAACTGCTTCACAAAAATGCTACTTATGTACTTCCTCTCTCTTTTGTTGAAATATTTGCCTGCTGATTCCCCTTTGTGTGCATCTTTTCTACAGTCCTCCCTCCACCTCATCTTCTCCCTTCCTGTTACATTCCTCATACAGTAAGTGAGCGTATTTTGGACAGACTTTACCTTATAGCCAAGAATGTTACTTCCTCAGCCATGATTACATTTGAGCTTCAGTCTCGTTGAAGACTATAGAAACGATTATTGATTTTACTTTTAAAAATGTCCTGTGTCTGACCATTTCTGATACCAGAAATAATTCTGTACATCTGGCAAACAACAGGTAACAATAAACACGAAGAAGTGACAAAAATCTTGTTGGAAAACAAAACCAATGCTCCCAGTTCTATGTGAAAACATACAAAGAAATAAATTAACTTAAGCCCAATTTTCTTCAGTCCATGATCTCTGCTCACTTTTTGCAGATCATGAGCTGCTTTGGACTGGAGTATTCAAGGCCCTTTTATATTATGGATTGTTTTGAATATTATAGATAATCTTCAAGTTACTATCCATATTTCGCAGTACGTAGTGTATTTTTAATTCAATAACATTTTTGTATATTTTGATAACTTTTGAACAATAACCATTTCTTTTTACTGAGAATCCTCTAAAAATAACACTGGAAACAAAGCATCAGTCTTGAAAGAATTGCAGGCACCAGTTACTAAAAGGGAATAAAAGGATCACCCTCACCTCATGATCATTTTCATTCCCACTCGAGCTTTTCCTTGAAGAGCTCTGGCACTTATACTGCAATAAGAAGTAGACATAACAGATTTTTTTAAAAGGTCACATACAAAAAACACATTTTCCAGACCAAAAATGCATTTTTTACTGCAAATTAGGTCACTAAATTATAGTTTTGTTACAGACCCAAGAAAACAAAAGTGGAAACTACTTTAGTACATCCATACGAGAAATATGAGAGAGCATATATTATGGCTACTCTGCATGTTGAAGAGATTCACTTATCTAGGTCATCTGCAAATATATGTGTACACCTCTTTAAAATGAAGTTAAGGCTGGTTTTGCTTTGCCAACAGCTGGTTGTAAGGAGCCCATTTAGCCCCTCTCGCTTGATTGAATTTTTAGTAACTAATTGATTTAAGGATTTCATCCATTTATTTTTTTTGAAAGATGCTAACGCATGGTATCAGCATTTAAATACTCCACAATAACAAAAAAAAAAACAATATTAAGTATTATGTAGCAATTGAAGTCATTACAAAAAGCCATTGAGATGCATCAGCATATATAGGGCCCTTCAAAATTATGTTTAAACTGGAATTTTCACTTTAATTTCTAATTATAATAATAGTTTCTCATGGAAATACAACAAGGTAGATATGTATAGCATAACTGTTTTATTTAATCAATTTTGTTCTACCATCTTGAATCAATTAAACAAATTGACAGTGTTGAACCTCTTTATTTTGAAGGAGCAGAGGTATTGGGACAACAGCCTGTCGTGGGGCAATTAGACAGCAATAGCTGTGAACCTGTCCTGTTCAACTTATCAGTCTGACTCACTTTAACTCTACTTTTTGTAGACAGTGATCAAAAGTCAAAATTAAATCAAAGAACTTTCAGTTAAAAATTAGCAGTTAATTCTGATGAAAGAAAAGGAAACCTCAGCCACAACCACAGCACAGACATTGGGCATAACATAAGCAACAATATGGGATATAATGAAAAAGAATGAATTACCTGATTACCAATCAGCCAAAAATAGGTCAGCCAAGAAAAACATCTGCACTTGATGACAGAGCTATTTCGATAGCTGTTACGGAAAACCCTAAAACAATTGTCAATGAAATCAGCAACACCCTCCAGAGAGCAGAGGTAATGGTATCAAAATGCACAGTTTGCAGAAGACTGAGATAAAAAAAAACTAAAAAGGTTGCTCTGCTAGGAGTAAACGTCTCATCACCAAAAACAGGAAAGCCAGATTGGAACTGGCTCTCAAGTACAAAACTGAGCCAGGGGAATTTTGAAACTCAAGTTTTATAGACAAATGAGACCAAAATAAAAGTTTACCAAAGTGACGGAAAGGAATTGCAGATGAATCAGAAGAATACCACTTTATCCATGAAAAAGACTATAGTCAGCCAACAAGTAACATTAATCAGACTAGAATCAGCATCATCTGAATCACAGCACACAATCTATACTCTGCTTTAGAGGCTTGAGACACTAAGGTGACTCTGTGTGACACTTTCTAACCCGCCTCTGGAGTGTGGATTTAATGTGGACTGGAAAGGTCATGAATCTTTTCTAAGATGGCAGCTTCCTAAACCAGCCATACTAAAATGTAAGTGTGTACAATGTTCTACAAGTGTAAAAACTTGCAAACAACGGCTTTACTGTTGCTTGGGGTTCACTGGAAATAAAATCACTTCTGCTTTCTAAAAATGCACTGCTTCTTGAATGATTTGTTTTGCAACATTCAACAGTCACCAGATTCTATGTCAACATCTGAGGGTGAAAGGTTTGCACTAAAAGTCATTTCCTTCAAGCATTCCTTGCAAATCAAAAAACAAGACTTGAAATAACCACAGGAAGAAAAAAAAATTCACCTCCCCTGTAATTCATGTTACTCATTTGTCTCTGTAATCTGGATTTATTAAGCAAATATTTAAGACTGCCCAATGTTATTCACCTTTCTTAGGTTTACAGTGCGTATGGTCAACTTTGTAATATAACAGTGAAGTAAATGCAGCTTTTATGAGTGAAGAGAAATAGAAAGAACACACCATCATAAACACCATATATCAAGTGACTGTTTTTTGGTTATTATTGCATAAATAAGGTAGTCAGAAAATGAAGATAGAAAACCCTCATTTCCAGACAGGGTAATTTCTCAGAAAAAAGGGTTCACTGAGCAGAATAGTACTTTGAGAAAACAGTTGTTAAATCTGCTCTAGAGAAAAAAATATTCAGAACACTTTAGGTATGAGAGTTCTGAAACTTGGCCACACTGCAGTCTGGAGTATTCTCATTTTATTAAGGACACTATTTACAAACACTAGAATTGTTTTTTCATTGAGACTGTCTATTAGAATACCACTCAGGAAGGATAAATTCCTTAATATATATGTTTGTGTGCACAGGATGCCACTTGTTCTACCAGACATATGAACCAGCACTAATAATTGTGTGATGTACTGCAACAACTAGTGGATTTCAGGAATCTGCATCCAAGGTTACATACATAACAGATTTTCATCACCCTCACCTTGCAAGAATAACAGAACTGAGCCTGCTTCTATGTTAAATGAGATTAGGAAACACAGTGGGAGGGATTGTATACCATATACAAAAGCTTGCCAGATCCTTTGATATCCTTCATTCTGAGCTTAATGACCGTCCTGTTCAATACAAATCACGGATTTCAATGTTTGTTTTGTGGTCAATTATCCATTTGTACACCATGGATTGTGATGTATGCTTGTGATTACTGTCTTTCTGGAAGATTCACTATTGGCCATGTTGAAGCCTTCTGGCAGAAGAAACCAGGTTTGTGCTAAAATGTCCTGGTACTTGGTAAAGTTCATGATGCTTAAGGAGGGCCCCATGCCCAGTGGAAGCAAAATGGCTCCATAACATCTAACCACCCTTTTTTAAATTAAATTAAATTAATTATGATATTTTTTTCCTGTAAATTAAACCTTTTGAAATATCCAACTGCTTTTTAACCAACTGCTACTGTATGTGTTTTTGGCCAAAGATCAAAGACAAATTTTTGCCTTACGTGTGTCGGTTCCTATCTAAGAGCAGGCGAAACACCTGTTAGCTGCTCTCAATAAAGCTATTTTTTTTGTGGAAGCTCCAAAAAAGGCCTGTTAGTATGGAGTTGGTGTCTAACTGTAGAATTGAATACTCATGACTCCAAGATTCAGCCTAGTTCTGAAATACTCCACCTGTGGCTCTTGGACTTTTCTTTGCCACCCGAGCCACCTTCCTCAGTCAGCACTGGGGAAATGCACACATACTATGCCAGGCAAGTTTAGCACTGTACCAGTAGTTGTAAGTAATAATAATAATAATAATAATAATAATAATAATAATAATAATAATAATAATAATAATACGCTCACCACACATCAGCTAACAGTGGGGAGGAGAACAGAGTGCTGAAATCAATTCAGAGGTCATGATTGGTAACAGCCTATGGGAAATTTGGCCAGGATGTCAGGGTATCATCCCTACTTTTGTTTTAGAAAATCTCTGGAATTTTTAGTGACCACAGCGACTCAGAACCTTGGTTTCACATCTCAAGGACAATGCCTTTTAACAGTATAGCAACCCTGTCACAATACTGGGAAATTAGACTGCACACAGACTGCAGAGTGAGTGTCCCCTGCTGGCCCCACTAAAACCTCTCCCAGCAGCAACCTTGGTTTTTCCGAGGAGGTCTCCCATCCAGGTACTGACCAAACTCACACCTGCTAAGCTTCGGTGTTGCAAGGTGACATGACTGCTGGCACATCTTTTTAATTATCACCATATTCGTGGTAAGGGGGTATTTCTTTTTCATACCCATTACCCGAGTTATGAAGCAATCTTTTCTCTCTTTTCATTTGGGAATTCATTGCTGTTACCCATGGTGATAAATGACAAAAGGATTTAGATACATGTATGTTACTGTCTTTCATTTTCATACACTGGTTAATCAGGAAGTATTGGAAGGATTACTTAAGACTGAGATAAACATAAAAAGTAGAATGTTGATGCAGATTAAATTTTGATTTTATTTTTAAAGATCTTTAAGTGTGCCAACAATTTCGACACCTATCTGTTTGAGAAATAAAATTATTACTTATTAGAAATTAAACTTTTTAAGCAACTGCATTAGAATATTGTTTCCTATATTTCTGAGAACAAACTTAATAATCCGATGAATGAATTAACTAAATGGAAAGAATTAATAAGATGGACAATTGATGACTTTGCTTATAATGAGGCAAACCTGTTATGTTCTATTTGGTGGTCTTTATCATATACTGTGGAAATGAAACAAAATCCTGGACTGAGAAAAAGTGAGATCCATTCCCCTTTGAAAAATACAGAAATACTCACACAGAACAAATCAGAAAAGGTTAGAGAAGTTTGTTTTTTTCTATAAATCAGTGTGAAAAATCTTCCCAGGATAAAGTTCATTAACCTTCTACGCATCATTTCTGATGCCTACATACATAAAATAAAACAATTTGTTTTATTTTGATTGCCAAGGCATTTGTAAAACAGCACTGCAGCAATGCAAACTGACGTATAGCAACATACTTTACACCCATTCAACTGAATTCACACCAAAACAGAGTACATTTTTGTGGATAAGAGTTTCCTCCTGTCCCAAGATAGTTATCACATAATCAAAATGTGAGCATAAAGCATGAGAATCTAATGCCCCACCTAGTCATTGTGTGTGGGCAGATAAGAACATATTTCATCGTATATTGCAAAACATCTCATAAAACCCTGTCTTTAGCATTCCTTGACCTGTGTTAAAGTCAAAGAAAAGACTGTATTTTCAAATGCATTCACAGAATTATGCATACACACACAAAGACAGTGCCAACACCAGAGTGCACTGGATCTGACCTTCTCTATTCTCATGCAGGTTTTAACTTTCTTCACCCCTCTCCACTTTACACTTCCTGAGTGGCCTCTCCTCCTCCACTTTTCCAGCTTTTGTTCTCCTGTGCTAGGTAGGTTAATCGGACTGAGGTGTATGTGTGTTTCTGTCCTTG